ATGAGACAAGGGGTGTCTTGTGTTTCATGTCTTTGTGTTCCACAAAGGACAATCACACAAGAAGCCAATATTGCTAACACACTTCTTCGTCTATCTTGATGCAAGGAATGTGAGAAATCTTGGCCCAATCTTGTCCCGTCTTATTCTCATACCTTTTCTTCAGGGCAGAGCAATTGGAGATGCTCAAATAAGAAAGAGATGGCGGCAGACCCTCTTCTGGCAAGAATTGGAGACTCGGACAGTCATAAATATATAGCTCTTGAAGAGAAGTGAGGTGTTGAAGTGCCTCTCCTGGAAGGAATTCCATACTGTCACACCTAGCAATAAATAGTTCTTGAAGAGAAGTGAGCTGTGCAAGTCCCTTTCCATCCAAAGATTTCAGAGTTGATAGTGAAGAGATGCTGAGAGTGTGAAGAGTGGTAGGGAGCAGCTGCAGCTTAAGCAACGTCTCCAAGATTTCATCACTTCCCCTGCCACCAATTCTAAATTGTTTGAGGGAGACAAGTGCTTGCAAACCCCAGTTACAATACTCTCCTCCCACTGATGAAGATGAAGCCCTCAGTCTCTCACAATTCTCAATGCTAAAATATCGGAGGTTGGGAGGCAAACCCCCATCTTCTGCAATTGACTCCAGATTTGGAAGATTTCTTATATCCAAATCTTGAAGGCCTGTGAGGGTGTGAATGCGTTCAGGTACTGACTTTAACTTATCGCATTTGTTGAAGTCCAATAGAGTCAGGTTGGGAGTGGGCAATCCTCCCTGCGGAAAACACACCAGATTTGGACACCCGAAGATAGTCAATTGATTGAGATGACTTAGATTCTCAACCGCTCCTTCTTCTTCAATCAAGCAAAGCAATTCCAGATTCTCACAATTGCCAATATCAAGTGTCGTCAATTTGGGAAAAATGCCCAAGGGGAAGGACCACATTGAATCACAGCTATCCTGTATACTCAAATAGTCGAGCGATGTTAATTTGGCCAACATCTCATGAGGTAGGAATTCTAATCTCCTACAACTGTATATAACTAGTGAAGTCAACGAAGTGGGTAGGCCATCTTCAGGGAAAGACGATAGGGTTGGACAATTCCAGAGAGTCAAACTTTGAAGACGATTGATGTTGTGCAAGCACTGTATGTCATTAGAATGTTGAATGTAAAGTTGGGACAGGAGCTTTGTCTCTAGTAATGATAACAGACCTGTTTGGCATCCATCTTCTATTTTCAATTCTTGAAGAGAATTGTAGTTGAGATTGGTACTAGTACTAGTAGCAGCAGTGGCCCTTTGATCATGTAAAACTCCACACCCTTCCACGCTAAGCTTCTTCAAGCAAGGCAGATCACAAGGCAAGCTTCCTCTCAGCTTTGGACACTTTTCTAGAATTAGCTCCTGGAGACGAGGAAAGTCTGGACCTCCACTCCCACTTGGTACCCAATCCTCCCACTCTACCATCTCCTTAAACTCCAGCGTCTCCAGCGATTGAAATGGCTGAAATGGTTGACCATACAACTCAGCACCTAACGTCCTAAGAAGTTTCATCTTACATATGAAGAGTTCCTTAAGAGCAGGTAGCTGTCCAAGCAGTGGCAACTCGAAGCAATAATGACAACCTTCGAGGCGCATAACTTTTATTTTATTGAAGGCAGAGTCTCCCAACCAGTTTGGGAAGCTAGTCCCGCCATAAAGTTTGACGGTCAATTTCTCCAAATTCATGCAAGGTTGGAGCTTGTCAAGTACATCTCTCACCTTTTCGGAATGATCGGCATCTTCGGAGCCCCATGCCAACTCTAACTCCTTGAGATCTTTTTTGTTCTTCAAATCAGCTTGCAAGGTATCCCTACCATCAACCACATTATTAAGCTTCAAAATTGAAATTCTTCCTCCAAGATGGGATAACTCCCTCAATTCGCCAATAGTCGACCCAGTAGATTTCCCCAAAACAAAAGTAGTCAATGTTCTCAAACTTTTTAGTCTACCCATTTGCACCGGCATCTCTTCAATTTGTGTTCCACTACAATC